GGTGGGCTCCGCCGGTGCTTCGGCGCCCTCTAGCGGCCGTCCACTCTAATACCAACTCTCTCCAGCCTTTCCTCTTGCCTCACCAGCCCCCTGGGCAGCCCTCGCCTGGGACCCCTGCCGGCCTGGTCTTGCTCCTCCTCGCTCTCAAAGCTCAAGGAATTGCCCTACAGAGGCTTGGGATCTCTTGGGTAAGGAAGGTCTTTTGGTCAATACACCTTAAACCTGAGAAGGTTTCTAGAATTAACCTGAAATCCTGTATTTTTCCTCTGATGCTTCCAAGGAGAAATGTCTCTAGTTTTCCAAGTAATAAGATACACAAAATTAGAAATATTATATTCTGTGCCGGAGATGGAAAAGCAACATTTTAGAAAGTTTGTTCTTTTTGAATGGACCTTTACTTTAAAACACACTAAAGGATTCCCCTGTGAATTGCTGGAACTGTAAACACTCAGAAAATCTGTTTACTTTATTGACAATTGCAACATTTAAAATGGAAAGCTACGATTGTGCATGAGCAATTCTTCTTCACAAAACACGCACATTAACAGGGATAGCCGCAGACAATGACTTTATACAAATTTAATCACATCTATTGGGTAAATATTGCACTGGCTCCAAGAGAGAGCAATGTAAGTCCCAAGCCTGCTCCTCTGAATGCTCCGATGGAGGTGGGAGCCCCCCCCAACCCCGACTTGGTGAAGATTGTCAGTACGCACGGCGCCACAGACTGGCACCACCACAGTAATCGTCTCCAGAGAACTTGAGTCTCTTTATGAGAGGAGTGATCAAGGGGGCTGTTGAATGGGTCCCCCTGCTCTTGAGCAAGTCACCTCTCTGAGGTTCAGTGTCCACATCTGTCAAATTAAACAGCTGGAGTCAATAGATTATCCCCAAGCTCTCTTCCAGTTCTGAGAGTCATAGACTCGAAGTGACGAAGTTGTTCACAGTTCAGAGATGAGCCCAGCACAGGCCAGCTGAGATGGGCTCCCCCACCCTGAGGAGGGCACGAAAATCACAGGACTGGGATAAACTTTCCCAAATAAGTCATCCTTGTCACTTACCACTTTTCAAGACTAGCCATCAGGCCTTCAACATTTACTGAGCTAAAAGATATGGTTCTCAAGAGGCTTTCCCAAGAATACAGCAGCCAAATAAAGGACTGCCAGGGGTTTGCCAATTTATGAAAAACATAACCTGTATATCGTATACATTTAGGAGTTCATAGCCTAAACAGAAAATTTCCCCCATAAAGGAGACTTCTAGTACAGAAAAGACTGAAAGTATATGTAGGCATTGTTATGTTTTTATTATGCAGCCACAAGTTTTAGCAGAAATCCACTGGTTGAATGTAATGCTAATTGAGGCCTTTGTCTATTTCAAATAGCATAGAAAAGACAACACATCTTGCCTGACCCATTTATTGAGTTCGATTTTAGACTTACCACCACCTCCACATAAACTCCTTACCCAGACTCCAACCTCCTTAATTTCCATAACACGCTTCCCTCCAAAGAAAAAACATTGCAGAATTTTTAGGCCAGCCTGAAAAGAATTAAAGTTCTGTAATCTGTTCTTTACCATCTACCTTCAAACAGGAGAAAGGCAGAGTCAAGTGCAACTCTGTTATTTTATGCTAGAAGGTCAGTTCTAATGCACTATAGGATGGTCTTGAACCATGTGACATTTCATCTTAAATGCATTTTAAATTTTATGTCTTGATATTTCGTGGCTCCAATGTACTGACTACCGTTGCCAAGGAAATAGGACTTTGGGTTACCACATGGATCCAAGGAGGTTTTGTTTTGTTTTGATTTTTAAATATTAACAGGACAAAAATAGAGAACAAATTTAACCCTTTTCCTCCTCAAAATGCATAAAATACAGATCCTCCGGACACATCTCCGATTAAAAAATATAAAGACTCATGAAGCAACTTTCCCAACGAGTGTAGAGACTCTCCCAGTCAATGCGCTTGATACCAAGAGCGTACGCTTCTCATTCTTTGCTCTGGATTCAGATCCCCCTGCAAGTGTGGGACACTGACCACACACATTAACCGCTCATCTCCAACATGTGTACCTCCAACCGGAAAAATCCTTTCTTTATGGGAACAAAAGTGGCCATAACAGTCCAGAGTGTTATACGTCAGGGAACTTGGAAAGTGAAGACTGAGAAAGGCATGGTGCAAACCACATAAATACATTCCACTGGGTTCCAAAAGATTCAAATGCAGATGAGGATAAAGATTGCACCATTAACCCATTTTTTTCTCTGTGGTTATATCTTACAGTAGGTATAATCTTAAGGTTTTCAGTCATGATGGTGGACTCAAATAATCTGATGATGAGAAGAACCAAAGCTTCTATTTTTTGGAATACTACATAAAACTTTTCCGGAAATAGATAACATCTTTGCTTCCTACTAACTGAAATGAAGTATTTTTAAAATCAGAAATCCCCCTGCAGCTCATGAAGCACTTTTGTACAAGAGACTTTTTAATTAAAACCCCTAAAAGCAGGGTCTCCTTAAGGCAAACCAATGATTCAAGCAAAATGCCGTGTTTGCTACCAGAGATCTGGAGATAAACACGAAGTCTTTCAAAGTACAACTAAAAAACAACTCACAAACCTCAGAACAACTATTTATAAGGAAACATTTAGAAGGTCTAGGAAAGTGGTTGCCTCATGCTGGGAAGCTCACTAGAACCCCCTCTGTGCTTGCTCCTAATAAAGTATGCTGGGAGTGTGTCTGGAAGAATAAAACGGAGGCTGACCACTCACAGAAAAGGGGTGAGTGTGATGGCCATGAGAATTTTCCATGGTAACTCATGAGTAGACCCTTGGCTCTATGATGAGCAAGCTCTTCTCACCCAACCATTCCAAACCGCCCGGGATCCAACCCCACTCCTGCTATGGACTGACACTTCCTTTTATGTAATGCTCAGGGGAATCCACCTAGTTTTGATGTGGTTTGAGTTTGATCCTGTGAAACTGTCGGAATCTTCCCATCAGAGAGAAATGAGGAGATTCTGGCCTTTATTAGTATGCGCTGTTAACACAGGTGTCCTAGCTGTATTTGCCAACCCTCCTTCTATTTTCATCCAGCTCTCTACACGTGAGTACCTTTGACCTACTCTGAGCTCAGACCCCTGATGTGCTGGAGCGACTTCGTCAACCTTTCTTTAAAAATGGATTGGCAAATAATACGAATTTAACCAGAAGCAGCAGCTCAGTAAGGGAAACGAAAACATCGGAAGTTATCTCATCGCAGCCACAGCCAGCCTGAGCTCTGTCTTATCTGCTGGGTAACAAAAAGAAATGGGACCTTCCCAAATTTGAAGGGCATCAAATAAAATAAAGTTGTTGCTTGCCTCTGGCTCTTGGCGGGATGTGCCAAGCAGTTTAACCAGAGTATCCTGACTACAAAACACGGCCAGGGAGTCAAAACACCTGAGCTCTGCGAAAGTTGTTTCTGTTTTTGTTTTGGGGGAGAGGTTGTTTTGACATAAAGCAAAAACAAAACACAAATGTCTTTGAGAATAGGGATTGTTAAGAGCGCAGCAAATGGAACGGAGAGAAAAGAATATTTCATTTGAAGTTAAGGTAGTTTTCCCATAAGAGTAGGGTTTAAGGAGAACCGTTTGAGGAGAGCTCTTTTAAATACCTTGGACAGCTCAAAATGCTGTTTTAGGAAACAGAAAACCAAGCGGGCGAAGAACAAGGGCAATGCTTTAAAAATCCTCGGCAATGCAGCAAGAGGATGAAGAGTTGGTTTTGTATATTCTGAACACAGGTGTAAAGGAGCCGAGGCATCTCCTCCCCAAAGGCACTGAAATCCTCGGGCATCAGTGGGTCACTCTGGGAGTGGGGGGAGCGGTCGTCTCAGCTATTGCTCTTGCAAAGTTTCCCAGGGCCCTCACCCCTCCCTACCCAACCTCCACTGCTCAGTCCATCTTTCCCCCCTCCACCTCCGGAACCCCCATGGCGCGCACTTCACGAGTTCGCGCCTATGCAGCCTATGATTTTTTCCCGGAGCCTGGCAAACTCTGGGACTGGAAGCCAGTCTTGCAAGGCCGCCGGGGGGCGCGGTCGGACCTGAAGGGCAGGATGGGAACTGGAGCCTTAAAGTCCACCCACTTCCTTTAAGAGGAAGGAGGAGGGCATCTTCCGAAGAGTATTTTTCAGGGTTCAGCCTGCTCCGCACTCGACGGTCATCAATATTCACTTGACTTGGCGCAGACCACCTCCTAATCGTCTTCCTCGATTCCGCCCTAACAATCCTCGGGCATCTGTGATGCCTCACGGGGTCCCGATCTCTTTAGTCTGCTGTGGCTAGAGCTTCAGTGGTCCCTCCAGTCCTATCCCCCGCCCCTGTCCCCCTTGCTACTTTATTTAACAGAGGAAGGAGCGCTGAGGGACTTGGCTGAATCAAGGGACTCGCAAGCCTATCGATTAGTTTTAAGCCCGAGAGCCCCGGACGCAATGAAATATTGGGACCTATTGTAAGGGGGATGGGAGAGAAGGTTGAGAGGCCGAATCCAACCGCAGCTAGGTCAAGCCATTGGATACCGCGACAATTTCCCACAGCGTTCTCACTGCCAGAGGGGAAGCTGCAACTTCAGCCAGGACTTGCTCCCCTCCCCCTCCCCGATTTCGATTTCTACATCAGAAGTGCCCTCCCCCACTTCAGGACTTCCCCGACCAGCCCCTCGGCGGGCGCGCCGCCGTCCCCTCCGCGGGCTTCCTCCCGCCCCACGCGCCCCACCCGACCTGGGCGAGTTGGGCGACTGTCAGAAGGCGAGATGCCTGGGATGAAAGTTCCCTTGGATTAAAGACTATGCTTGTAGCTGCTTCTTGACACAACAGCAGCAATGATAACCAAGCAAATATGAGCGAAAACCAGTGCATCTCAAAAGTTAGTCTTGCTACGCAGCAGCCCCAACAGACTTTGCCATCCTAGCGCCCTAAGAACACAGGAATGCAGAGTTGGCATTTACTTACCTGGGTGTGCCAACCTCGAAGAGTAGAGAGAGAATTCAGCCCGGGACGAGGTCTGTCCCGCCCCCAGGATGCAAAATCCGGCTTTGAAGTGGAGGTGGTTGGTGTTGTAGTTGTGTGGGGGTGTAAGGGGGATCTCACTTCCCTCCCCCCTCGTCCTCTGAGGCCAGTTTAGCAACAGCGGATGGAAAAGACGCTGAAAGGAGAGTTTGGTCTCTCCGGAAACCCTGACTCCATTCTTTGTGATGGGGGCTGGGGACAGGGTGGAAATGTTGGGGGTAGCGGCTCAGCCCTCGGTTAACTCTGAGAGTAAAGTGGAAGGTACTGGGGAAAGAGGGAGGGAGCGGAGAGGACAGAGGGAGGAAGGAAAGGAGGAAGGAAGGAAGAGAAGGGGATGCGAGCGGCTGGCGGGGAGATGGCAGCTTCTCAGAGAGATTTCCACCTTCTGACGAAACCCATGCGCCCAGCAACCCGCGAGATACTAGTTCGGAAACCTCGGCGCGAGCGCCCCCTGGGGGGTTCCGGCGGAGGCGAGCATTGCCCCGGGAACCGAGTCCACGCCCCGCCCCGGACTGGGCGGTGGCGCGCTCCGGGGTCCTGCCGAGTCCACGGTGCGGGATTCCTGCTCCACTCTGTCGCTCACGCCAGGCTCCTGCGGCCGTTTAATTCAGTTCTTCAAGTGCTTGGACCTCATCTCCGCTTCAGGGTAAGGCGGTAATATCGAGGAGGGCGTGGGAGTGATACTTCTTTTTGCACGCATTCAAGGAAACTTCTTGGATGGATACTCAACGGTCACCAAAAATGCTGAAGATATTGCTCGCCTCTGTATCCTCAGTGTCTACAAGAGAGACTGGCATATGGTAGGAGCCTGATAATTATGTTTCAGTAAATAAATGCATGAATAAATGAATGGCCGAGGCTTTTCTTCATCCCATGATGTCTTCCTGAATACATCCACCTCACAAATAAGTCTAAAATAAAGAAATGCTTAGGGAGTACCTATGTTTAAGAAAGATATAAACATGCTGTCTTATGTAAGGGGCAACCACTGCCGCATGTTATGAAGCACTTTAGAAAGTACAGCTTTCCTATTCCAAACTTATTCAAAGGCAAAATCAGACAAATGAGCAACAGAGGGACATGCTGTGCATTTGTCTGATTGTTTCTGCAACAGTAGACGAACTAGACAAGTACATTCTCTCAGCCCATAGGTATCGTCAGAATCACGAACCGGACCTCAGGATCCATAAGGTTCTAACAAGACCTCTCTTCATGGGAAGAGGTTATCAGTGAGGAGATTTCACCACCCACAGAGTTCTCAGTTTCAAAGTGCAGAGAAGGAGAAATAATAGGATGAGAAGCAGGTGCCCACTAATGGTTCTAAAGAGGCAATTAGGAAGATGTTTGAGAGGTGGGAGAAGAGCCTTCAGGAAGAAAAAAATAACACAGTTTTTCTTCCCCCAGGTCACCTCTCAAGACCTTCTGGAGTAAGATAACACTAAACATGGACCCTAGAAAGGATCTTAGGGAGCTGTCGTACACTGAAGCTCCGACGTAAATTCTTTGATTGACTTTGATTGGAAAAACTTGGGTCATATGGTCAAGCACAAGCCAATCCTTGTGGCCTCGGAATATGGGTTTACACCCATGGGCCAGGCCCTCCACAACTCCGGGAGCATTTGGTATGGTCTACAGCACTCCGGGAGCCAGGGTGGAGCCCCAAATGATCCACACCTACAGAGTGAGACACGGGGGTGGTTCCCCCCAGGAAAGGAAAGGAAGACCCCGGTCTCCCTACCAGAAAAGGGGGATGGATGCTGGGCAGACACAGTCAGCTTACGTTTACTAAATATGAAAATACTAAGTTAGGAAATATTTCTTTCAGGTTTAATTAAGCAGTAGCCTTGGAGATGAACTTGAAATTTGAGCTGGACTGAACTTGCAAAGATGAAGGGAAGGAGAGAGAAAGTCATTATGCATTGCCCTGCATTTAATTGTGTCCTCTGAAATTTAAGTTCCATGAAGGCAGGTGATGGTCTGTGTTGTCATCTTGTTCATGACTGTAACCACTATGCCCAGCACGCTGTCTGTCACTTAGCGGGTAGTCGATAAACCTTGGTTAAATAAAATTTTAAAAAATATCTGAGCAATCATTGAACACAAACCTCTTATTTTATAGCTGTTTATAGCTGAACAGGTACTACTTCCGGGCAATCTGTTTGGCACTCTAACAAACCATCGCCTTTACTTTTCTCAACAACCTGCCCAACTAGGTTTTATTATATCTACAAAAAACCCGGGGTTGGGGTGGTCAGAATGACCAGACCAGGGAACACAACTAGTTAATGGGAGAACAGGGAGTGTTCATTGAAGCAGGCTCTAAAGGGACATCTAAGAATGGCTGGACACGTGAACCCTAGAGCAGAAGGAATAGAGTCAGAGCCCCCAGGGAAGAATCCAGTACAATCCTCTTTGGCCCCCATGTTAAAAGCACAGAAACACAAACTAAACGCTACACCACAACTTGTGACAAATACGGTTTCCCCTGCCAGCAGGCTTCAGCTCCCTAATTAGAAACAAACCGTCGCCTGCAAGCCAGTGTGCAGAACACACGTGCAGCTTTTTGCCAGAAACTTGGATTTTTTTCCCCAAGGCATGACACGGAAGGTAAATTCAAGGAGGCTCTTTGCAGGGCACAAAAGCAGAATTTACTCCCACCTCTCATATGAAATCAACAGCTCATCTCTACAAATGAAGATATACAAGCAGCTAATGAACCATTGTCGCAACCACTACCCCCACAGCAAGTTGCCCACCAGCCAGGCTCCCTTCAACCACTGCAAAATCAAAATCCCCTCATCTGTATCACTCACCTCCTTCCAACTCTCCTTTTCACGGATTCTGAGCTGCTGGGTTCTCCAGCCATAGTCAAAATTATCTAAAGCCAAGCCACAGAGTCACGGTGCCACTGGCGTTCCCAAGCCGAGAAGGAGCCTCCAGTTCTGGGTAGATTCACTCACCGGATATCCATTTGATAACATAAGGGGAGGCATCCGTTCAGTGTCCTATGCCAATATGAAAGGGGCCCCACCCATCAGTGTGACAAGTGAAATTCTGGAATGGAGCCAGGGAACAAAAGGGAAGAAATGTGAATTCTTCCCAACGCCGTTGATACCATTTTTTAAGGGTAGCAGATGATGAAGGGGAGAAACAAGCAGAGAGTCAGTGCCCTGCATTACATACCTTGGATCCTTCCCTGAATGAGTCAGGGTGAGCATTTTGCTTTGAAATTGAATTTCTGTTTCCTTTTTTTTCCTCTCTTTGAGTCTGTAGGATGGTTACATACTCAACTCGTCAAGGGGACTGCTGCAAATAACAGGATTTATTTTTGAGGCTTTGGATCAAATAAGAACCTTGAATTTTCCCCCCAGGGTTATATAGTTCAGAAACGGGGAGGGGGTCCATGTGATTTTGAGAATTGACTGATATGTCTTCCTCTGGTGTTTCTGTATATGCCCGAGATGGGTTGTATTACTGGAAAGCAGAGAGGAACGCTTTAAGAAAGCCCTTCTAAGATGCTACGAGTCAAGAGGGAATTGATAGACACATGTTCCAAGCTGATGCAGGAATCACCTCTTCCACTGGCTGTCATTCTGCTATATGGGGACCCCATATGACCTCTGGTGCCTCTCGCATCCATCAGTGAGAGGCTTTACTGAAAAGGGATGCCTTATACTCTTGTCTACCAAGAGGTGGCATCAAAATCCCTCTAGCTTTTCTTCATTGCATTTTAAAAACCATAGGCGGAGAGCATCTTCTGTCTGAGATTTCACGTTGTACCAGGAGTGATGTGTTAAAGGGCACTAACTCAGAGCTCTTATTTCAGAGCAGATTAACCCAGTGATCTCTTAATTAGGCCTCCCGGTCACCCCTCTAAGCCTCAATTTCCTCATTATGAAAAGAAGGTAACTGAATGAAACTCCAGCTCTGGGATTCTGCTTTTCAGCCACAGAATGTCTGCCCAGCCACACCATTCCTCATGTTTGTGATAAACTCACTGAGACTCCATTCCTTTGGGTTCAGGGAATGGGAGCATGCAGCTATCACTTTGTTGCAGAGACTGCAATTTGCCTAACTGAGAATCATTTTTGATTGTTTGTTTTTCCTTACTGGAAAAAAATAATTTTGTGGGAGGTAGCAATGTGCTCAGCCCAAAAGCCGCATTTCCCAGCCTTGCAGACGGGGTAGTCACGTGACAAAGGTCTCGCCCTGCACTAACAGGGTAGCCGCTAGACATATGTAGCTACTTAAATTCAAATTTCTTAAAATTAAGTAAAATTAAAAATTCACGTCCTCAGTCACTCTAGCCACATTTTAAATGCTAATAGTCCCAAGTGGCTAGCAGCTACGTCTTGGATAGTTCAGATACAGAATGGTTCCATCATCGCAGAAGGTTCTGCTGTACATGCTGGTCTAGCCATTGAGATGTCAGTGGAAGTTATAGGGCAGTTTCCATGATAGTCTTAAGAGAGAGGGAGAGACTGACTCAGCTGGCTTGTATTTTTATCCCCTTATCTCCTCCTTTCTTTCTACCTGAAGGAGAAGGTGGGTCAGCCATCATATGACTATGAAGCAGCAAGCATTTGGCAGGGCAAGATAAGCTGAAAGATAGCATGAAGGCAACCACGTTATCACCAATTGTATTACAAAAAAATTAAACTATTGGTTGATTCAAGCTGCTATTTTCAGCTTTTTATTACTAACACCCAAACATTTCTAACTGATATACCCTCAGAAAGTTACCTGGACAATTTTCTATTAATGGCTTTGGATAAACAAGTTTCTTTCCAGTTTTCTTTACTTTGGACAGAGTTGAGGACAAGATCCTGGCTAAAAGAAACAAAGCAATTTATTATGTACCCACAAAGAGATTAATAATCTTTCATTTCAATATGCCAAATGAGCCAAAAGTGGGGAAATGGGGCATTAATGGTTACCCAAAATAATTAGCCCCTTTTTTATAGGTTGGCTGAAGAGCAGCTTTGCATTTTCCTGGAGAAGAGGTTGGTGGGTATGCAAAGAAAAGGAAAATAATATTTGAGCCTATTCTATGTGATAGAAACTTAGCTGAATGATTTAGCAATATTCTCAAATTTAAGTCTCATGGCAATCCTATAAAGTAAATATTCATACCTCTCTTTTTATTGCAGATAGCAAACTGCGGATGAGAGAGATTAAATATCTTATCAAAATCTCCTTAGCTAGTTAGTTATAAGATGAGTTTCAAATCCAGGTCTGCTTGGCTCTTGCCACAAGTGCCTAATGAACTTCCCCTGGTGTGTGAGTGTCATCAGATTCTGGTCCATACTTGCTTATTTCAAGGCTCTCATTCCATCCTCTGTACCATTTTTTTCACAGGCTTGATTCTACAATAGAAAGACTGATGACACTTATCTTCATTTCATAAGCTGTAGAAATTTACCAGGCAGGTTAGAGCGAAAGGCTTTCCAAACAAGGAAACGACATAGACAAAGGCTCCAAGTCGACAGCAGGTTTGGCCTGATCAAGAAACTCCAAGTAACTGAGTAATCCACTATATCTTGGGTGAAAAAGGGGAGAGAGGAGCAAGGACTAAAGCAAACAAGCGGGCAGGGGCAAAAGTATGAAGATATAAAAGGGCCTTGTAAGAATTCCTTAAGGAGATTTGATCTTATTCCATGAGTCGCTTAATCCCAAGCGCTGAGGAAGGATCCAGAATTTTCCTTAATCCATGGTGAAATGAGAAAATGAGAAAAACAAGGAGTTTTTTATACAACTACATTAATTTTTTTGAGATTACCTCTTCCTTCGTTTTTTCATGTAAATATTAGTCACTGCATTCTTTTGCATTTCTTGTGAGGTTTTGTCATTTTAAAACATCCTTATTTGGTAAAATGAAAGTACCTATGAGCCAAGGGCAACCCAAGAAATGTGTTTTGAGATATGTTCTGTCAATTCTAAACATTTAGAGACATCAGTTGGAGGTCAAGGGAAGACCGAAGA